AAATCCCGACAAAGGAAAGACCAAGCACAGTGACGAGAACTATGAACCAGTGCATCCATGTCTTAATGAGATTTGTTATTTGTCCCCAAATTCCGACCTTTTTGTTCAAATTCTTAGAAATCAGGACCTCTGACTCGTTTGTAGACTGTGATGTGTTACCGTGGTCTGGTGTAGAGGTGAGGGGGGTCATAACTAACAAATTAAATTGTAAAGGAAATAAATAATTATAAATACATGTAACAACTGGAAATTCCATAACTCAGATAAAAGATTGCCGTTCAAACTCTATCAAATTAAGTTATTGCAACTCACACTTAAAAAAAATACTGACCATTTTCAATTGCTTTTACGTGTAAGTTAAGTAGTCTTAATCCTTGAGATGTAATGTTTTCTACAATACACCCCAAAACTTCATCACACTCTTCTTCTGGGCACGTGCAAGACTCTCTACATCTACGTCCAAAAGATCCAGATGGACAAGGTCTGGTACAATTATATCCATATGACCCATGACATTCTAAAGAGAGATTTATTTGAATTTTGTTGATTAATTTTACTTTTCGACGGATCTATTTGAAGTTTAAGAAATTTAATTCATGAATGAACACGAATCATGCCTTTAAAATACATTCCTAAATGTAAGTGGCCAATGATTGATAAAAACTAGAATAGAGTAAAACAACAGACATTCGGCTTAGTCTTGCTTACCCTTACATGTACCTTCCCATTCGTAAAAACCGGAACAGCACATTCTTGTCCCACTATAGAATGAAACCAAAAATATCAATCAAACAAAATACCATCTAAAATAAAATTGAGAATATTACTTTGTGTGAAACTGTATTATTTACTTTGCATATCTGCATCCATTAGGCGTTCCAGGCAAGATGGACAAGACTTTTGATGAGTACAATAATAATCCTAAGACTGACAACATAACATGATTCATATTTGGAAGTATTTCTACTCTTGATGGCCTTACTGTATATGAATCAATTTTATATAAACGATAAAAAGTGTCGCATTTCCTTATTTTGATGCAAAAGGCTACATCACGTGTTAATTTTATATTTAACGAAATAAATTATCTCAGGCTATTTTAATTCTTTTAACAACTTGATAAAAATAAAAAAAATCTGTAAAACCTAAAAATATTACTGGCCCAAACACAAGTTCAATTTTATCATTTGAAGATGAGAATTTTCTTAAATGAAACGTGGAAATAACGAACAGTAATCAATATCTAAAGTCCATTAAACATCACAAAATAGGAGCAGAGCAAGCATGGACCTACAAAACATTTTAGGGAAGTGAAGAAATTGTTTGACGTAAGCAACGTATCCTACCTACTGATTTTTTTTCAAGATATCCTTAATTTAAGATAACAAGGCCAACAGAAGTTCAATGTCAGCAAAATCAGCATAGAAGGTTTTGAAAACGATACAAATTAGTGAAAAATTTTGTATTGTTCAAAGTAAAATGTACCTAAATTACTATACATATATTCTAGATGTTTTGTTTATCCAAAGTTGTTTTGAAAGACATGTACAACAGAATATGTAGACATTGGATGGTAGAACACATTTCATTTAAGAAATGGAACTCCTAACAACTCCTACATGTAGGAAAAAAAGACAATAAAATTTAAACTGCGTTACACATATAAGGGAAGAGATAATTTTGATAAATGTAATAGATATTTAAAGTTTATGATTCTAAGCTTTATGAAAGTGTGGCGAGATAAATCGCATCCCATTTTTAAATCTCTTCTCTTCCAGAATAAAATTCTTACAAATCTTCAATATAATTCTGAATTTTCCGCGAAGAGTGTCAAATTCCAGGAGCCATTTTGTACTTGCGTTTTTATTTCAATCGAGATGTGTTTGTTAGTAGGAAAAGCATTTTATTCCTCTTCTCGGCTCAGTGAGAGAAATGCACCGATTTGTTAAAACAAAATCGAAGAAGTGAATTTTGTAAATCTATATTAATGATAATCGTATGCTTTATCTACATGCATTTCAACATTTCCTTAATTTGCTTTATGTTTTCATTTTTTTTTTTAAAGAAAAGAATATGAAAGACGCTATTTAAACTCCAAGTCCTAAGCATCAAAGAGGCGAGAATAAATAACAAATACTCGTACTGAAAGTCTTTTAAATTCCACGGTGTTAAAATTTCACGATTTTCCAAAAAGTAACTATTGCTATGGTTTTAATTCAATGCTGAAAAAAATTAATTTAAATTTCTTTTAAGTATTTGAATGTTTAGTTAAACTAATGATAGCACTCACGATGTGTTTAATTTTGCGGGAAAATGATTAATTCCCAATAGAGTGACATGAAAGCTCATATTATTTGCCAGTTTAGAGCATATGTTTTCCTGAATATTAGGAAGATATGTTTTAAAACCAAAACATCTATTATGATAGAAACACTTATTCGTCCTCAATAACTTAAACGCTAAAGCAACAAATATTTAAGGGGGCCGAATGGGGTTTCCATTGTGTAACATTTTTCACAAAATCAATCCAATATAACTAACTGAAGAAATCACAGGTTGAAATATTTAATAACAGTTATATATAACCGATTTTTAAAGCGATTTTTCAAGTAGAACTGATAGGTTGATCGACGTCGTAATTATGTGTTTTTGACAAGAATTGAAAATTGAGAAAAAAATATAATTGTAGTTTATGCCTGATACTGCAAAATGTAAAATACTGTAAAACTGTATATGTTTGATGTTGTAAAATAAGATTCTCTTTCGTACTAGATATTTGACACAAACAATCAAAAAGGTTCAATCAAACTCGATCAAGGCCGTAAATCTTGATCCGGACCAAAATTAATAACCTCTCAAAGTATCTGCATGTGAACAATATTATAAAATATTTGGAAAATGTGGGGAGATAAAAAAAAATATTCAAACTTAATTGTAAATTAAAAAAAAATAAAAATAATAATAAAAAAAGAAATGCATATACTGAAGTCTTTAAGAATTAGAGAAGCCTGTTGTTATGAAATGCGTCAAGATTTATTATCATGGAATTTATTTCATACGGCATACGGCATTGTAGAAACATTAAAAAAAGATGTATATTTAAGTTTTTTGACAGAAGCAAACAAGTCATTGTCATTACACACAAAAAATGTTACGCACTTTTCAAATGTAACATTCTTTAACTAATAATAAACTGATGACCAAAAAGGTATGTTTATATTTAATTTATTATTCATAACAATAAAAAACTACACACATGTATGCCGATTTGGAAATTTCATAAATGCAATCTTCCTACTCATCCTCTTCAGCATCATTTTCCACTGAAAGATGCTGCAAATACATTCCAATCATACATTTGTAATAATCCTGTAGATAAAATGAGGACTGTTTTCAAGCATTCTATTTTCAAAGGCCTTTAAAAGTGATTTTTTTTTTCTTTAAAGATTAAATTCAAAATACATATGTTTAAAATTGACATTTATTTCATGTGTAATAATGATGAAGTATGCCCATGGAGGTCCGAAAGACAAGAGCCTTATATAAATATTGTGTATTGATAAGAATGTAAATCGTTGTTGTGATACATTCAATGGTCCTTGAACCTTCGAAATATATTCATGAATAATATATTTCAATATAAAAATATTCCAAGGTATTTATAGTAAGGTTTAACGAAACTTTTTAGACATAGCATGAAAGAAAGGAAGTTCGGAAAAGCTTAATATAAATAGATTTGACGATTAACCCTTCAAATGATGAAATAAGGATGTTTTGCCTCATTAAAAATTGTCAAGTGTACATATACACATGTTCTGTCGAACCATGTTCATTCAGTTCTGAATCTTTATCATGTGACATATCTTTGGAAAAATATTCATTCATATCATGATATGCATGGCTGTCAGTCTGTTTCTCACATAAATCATCAAAATACATATAGCCACACCCATCTGTATTCTCTGGATCGGGTAATATATCAATATAAGCATTTGTTTGAATGTCTGACATTTCGGTATATACAGCCAGTGCGCGGTAATCATGATTTTCTTTTTTATGCTCAGAGAAAACACTTCTCTGCATATACTCTTTCTCTGATGTTTCATTTTCAATGGTGTTGATATCGGCATATGCAGAACAACCCTCGTTTAGCATATCTGAATAAACATTCCCATGATTGTCTTGCTGTTCTTCAAACACTTGGTTTATATGTACTGGAACATGTTGCTTTGCTTCCTTTTTAATCCTTGAAAAAAATTGATTTAAAATTTTTTTAAACAAATATTAGGGTAAATATTTGTTTTATTTTGCTTTAATTGATATTATTGAAAAAGAAATAATTTTTTGTAAATGAATGATCGATACTTTTTTGTTCCTTACCTTTCGTTTCTGCATTTTATCATACAAAGTCCAAAAATGGTTAGACATATCACAATAACCAAAATAATGAACCAGTGCATCCATGTATTTATGAGGTTTGTAATGTGTCCCCAAAGTCCGATGTCAGTGGGCATGTTTTCAAAACTGAAGTCTGTTGTCATATTCTTTTGATGTGATATGGTACCATTGTCTGGTTTAGACCCTAATGTAATATCTTCCTTTGCTAAAAAGAGAAATGAATTATAATTTTTTTTGCAGAATTAAATGTTTGTTACGAAGAAATTTGTCAGCAAAAACGCTCTTGATGAAGATGACCACCTGTGTCTATCATTAAGTGAAGAAATAATAATCCTTTAAACGTCGTTGTTAATTTTTCTTTAACACAGCCCAACATCTTATCACACTCTTCATCTGGGCACGCGCAAGACTCCATACATCTCGGTCCGAAGAATCCAGATGGGCACAGACTAGTACAGTTATATCCAAGTGAACCAAGACATTCTAAAAGGACAATTCTTTTATATTTAAAAACGGAGTTGGCTTTTACCATCTAGGAATTTACTATTCTAAAAGGATGAATTTGTTATATTAAATTAATTAGAAAGGTAATATAATAAGAATAAATTAAACATTTTACAAATTTATTACAAATACCTTTATTTTTAGAGCAATCTATTAAAATGATCGTGATCCTAATAGAGACAAGATATGATATGTATTCGTACTCACCATGACATGTATCATTCAGTTCGTAAAAACCACTACAGCAATATCTTGTCCCACTTAAATATATAAAAAATGAATTAATCGAACAAATTTTAATCTGACAAAAATGAACAAATGTGAAATCTTGATGATATATTTACTTTGCATGCCTACATCCACCCAGTGTTCCAGGTAAAAGTGTTAAAACCCTTGATGAGAAGAGAAATAATCCCAAAACTGTCAATGCACCATGTGACATATCTTTAGGATAACACTGTCCCCTCGTCTTAATAAAAGTGTGTGGGTCTTCCTTTATATCATAGACGATAAGTCGGATTTCCTTGTTATAAATAGATAGATCACATGTTTTTGTTTTTAAAATTCTACTCAGTCAAAAACACATTGTATTTTTTTAATTTGTACCCTGTTTTATATATAAGTGTCTTGATTCATCAATTAAATATTTGTTCTAGCGTCAAACTAATCGTACTAACTAACAATTTAAGATATTTCATTGTTTATATTTTTGACTTTATAAATAATCATATTAAGTAGGTTTATGCACTTTGGATATTGTACTTTTGATTGATTGATTGATTGATTGATTGATTGATTGATTGATTGTATATTGTTTAACGTCCCTCTCGAGAATTTTTCACTCATATGGAGACGTCACTGTATGCCGGTGAAGGGCTTCAAATTTAGACATTTAACTCGGCACTCAGGGTCATTGAGCAGTGAGGATTCTTTATCGTGCCAGCGCCTATCCTGACAGGGGACCTACGTTTTTAAGGTCATATCCGAAAGATCCGTGATTTTTTACTTCTAGTGTCGAGCGCTTGGCGAAGGAACAGTCACTACCTATGTTTACATCTTAGGTATAGCGCGGCGCCGCGAACGAGAATCGAACCCGGGCCTCCCGATCACGAAGCGAACGCTCTACCCTTAGGCTACCGTGTACTTTTGTAAAGTTTTATTGATTAAATGGCACACTTCATAAGAAATCTTTACAAGTGGATTGAAAACCCGTGGCTTCATGTATCGTTGATAAAAGGGGTTTTCATTAGAAATAATGTAAAATTTTTAAGTGAATGTAAACTAAAGTTATATGAAAGATTTGGCTTGGCCAGCTGTATGAGGGGCGTTCAATAAATAATGTCATTCGTGCTCGGAAAGAAACAAAAAAAACGCTTTTCAATGATTAAGTCTCAAATGATTTCACTCAGATATTCTCTTTTAATTAACACATGTCCGTAACATTTTTATCCAATTTCTAATTGTTTTTAAAACACATTATTGAGTATGCCCCTTTGTATACTGGAAATTAACAGATCCTATGATTTACTGTACTTGTTTTTTCTTTCTGAAAGATGTTTTTTTTTCAAGTTTTGGAAATGAAACAAGTCAAGGGTTGAAAGATCTGGCGAATATTGTTGTATGACAAAACATTAATTTTCTGTTTACCCCCAAAACTCCTTTACTCTTCATGGCCTGTGGGTTTGGACGCTGTCTTGAAGAAATTTAATGTAGTGGATTCCTGATTCTGGTTCCTTCCTCTCATAAACCTTTCAATTTTTTGCCAAAAATTTGCTTTCTAGACTCCACTAGAAACTGCACTGCCTAATTGAACAAGAATTTGAGCAACAAAACCACTAATATTTAAGAAAATAGCATATAACACTGTTGTTGTGCTTTTGCAATTCTTTGCACTTCTCAGACCTTTGTTGTTTAGGTGCAACTTTGTAAATTTGTTTTGAGGAAAGCAATGGATTCAAGTTTCATTATTTGTCTGAATTTCAGACAAACGTGAATAAATGCAATTTTTTATTTAAAAAAATAATAAATGTTTACATATTCTTACACACTGTCGTTTTCACTCATTTTTCAAAACATAGGGTGACCTTTAAGTATTTTGGCTTTTTTTTACAGTCAAATATTTATTTAAAACATTGTAAACTACCCCCAAAATGATGCCTATTTAATTTGCTATGTGTTTTAAAGTCAATCAAACATAATCAGTAATAATTTGTTGAATTTTCGCAAACAGTACATTGGTTGTTGTAAGTCCTTGTCGCCAAGGACGGTACCCATTTTTGATGCCCATTATATCTTTTTCGTTGATTGAAATCCACTTGCTTATGTGTGTATAAAACAGACATTGATTGCTGTAAATTTCACATATTTCAGTAAATATTTCTTTGAGGTTCATAACAAGTTTCACGCAGTTTTAATGAAGCTGTGAATTTCACTCTAGTTTATGGATTCTTTGCCATTCATTTTTAATGCAGTGTCTCGAATAGCCCTTGTTTTTCAGCTTCCCACAATGAAACTATGTGACGAAAAGTGGTCAGATAAACTGTTATCAATTCATTGAAGATTAAATAATGAGAGAAAGTCAAGCTTAATGTCATATGATTTCTATGATGTATGTCATCGAGCTCATTATTTATTGAACATCCCTCTTATTATAGCTCTTACATGAATGAAGCGTATCGTTTATGCAATATTTGCCAATTTTATCCCACTTTATAGAACTCATTTCAAAACATGTAATAACAAGAATAGATATGGGTTACCCCATATCCAAAAATATTCGACTTTTAGATTTAATATGTTTAACAGTGTTTATAATGACTTTAATTTAAAAAAACTGCACTGTCTAATTATGGAATTGGTGTAAATTTCGGGAGTTCGTAGCATTATGGTCGCCCAGTCTCCTAACAAACAGTACACATACCTATGTCCGCAAGACCAACATTAACCTTGGTCTACACACGTGCGATGGAGCTGTCAAACGCATCCAGCGAGCTCGGAGAAACACATTTTGTTTTGCCGAGAAGTTACGATGGCAGACAAAACGTTTCTTTTCTTAATTAGATCATATGAATACGTATTCCGATTAATAAAAATTATACAATCCCTGTTGAACTATAGTTTGTTCTATTATTTGCATCTGCAACAACTTGTGTTTAAAATGGCCGGGTTAGGAAAATCAGGACCGGGTCGGAAAATTCTAAACTGAAAACCTTTTTTGTTTTGAAAATTACTGAAATATACTAATGTAATCATCGCAGAAATTACTTACATAATTCAAGTTCTATATAAAATGGTATGCTGAACTTCAACACGAACCCGAATCTCCGACCCAGTTCTCGTCTTGCTACACATGTTATACCCTACAGTTTACCAAGTGTACACACGAGCAGAATCCGGCCAGGGATTGAAAATTCCGTCATTTAATAAAACACACACACAGAATGATTATTTTTTTCTTTAAGAAGAAATTGTATGATAATTAACGGACTATAAACATGTACTTAATACAATTGTTGATATAGTATTATCAATTTATCGGTGAAAAGATCTGAATCGAAGAATGACCTAAATATTCTCTGTTATCAAACATGTAAAAAAAAAAAAGGCTGAGGAGGGAGCGAGCGTAGGAATATTGATATTTTTTATTTACATTTCGGGGGGAAAGTGATTTTCTAATAGTATTTTGACGTTGTTTTTGATTTCTTTAACGTATGACATACACAACTTTACTCTTATCATTAACAATAATGTTGTATCTACTTATCATGATGGAACTATTTTGGTCGGACCAATTTGTGTGAGCCGCCGATGAATACAGTAATATATCTTGCACTAATAGTATGCACTGATCGAATATATTAATAAAATAAAATAATTCTTACATTTTTTTATTTTTCTAATGATTTGAGAGTCAGATATTCGTCATTTTTCCATACTTTTAAGATCAAAACTCGCCAGATACCATTTGTTCCTTATAAATGGTTATTCTTACATTAGCACAAATACTTCTTGAGATATTGAGATTAGATTGTCGTCACTGACAGTTGATTTTCCAGTAAGGTTAGAGCTCATGAGTTTAATTATTTACCGTGTCTTTTGTCGTTTGCAAAATTATATTGTAAAAAGACGATCTGATCGTGCACGCAGGTACTATGAGGTTGATGTTCGGTGGAAGCTTTTGTTTCTGATTGACAGATTCTGTGTTGTTTTTGGAGTTCGGGTATTGCAGTAATCTGTCACAGTTCCATTGGGTGTTGGACATGCCCTGTTGTTAGCGTAGCCGTGTTTGTGTTCATGTTACAAGGTAGATTTTGTACAAAATCCTATACACGAGAAGACAAAAGATACCTTCAACTCGAAATTTCGTTATATCAGAAACGTATTATCAATTAACAATAATTACATGTACCTTTATTCATATGCAGACACCATATATCCCAGTGATTTTGAAAAAAAAGATACCATATAATCTGACACAATTGATTCATTTATGGATATTTTACTAGAAAAAAGACGTTAAAGCTACCTAAAAGCAAATCTTTTTGATAAACGGAATGACTTTAAGTTGGTTTGATGCGCAAGAGCATGCTCTATTTATGAACAATTTCTGAAGCAAGGTAAGTTATTGTCAGATAAGTCGGTGAAACAAGAATATCGACAGTTTTATTTAAAGGCATTATATTGCAAGTTCCATGTCGATGCAATAATCTTGTCAGCAATACAATCAATCATTAAGTCAAATGTGGATTGATATTTTTTTGCTTTTTGTGAGGTCATTCTGGCAACGGATTTTTCTGTTGTTTTCCTGATTATGACAAGGTGGAGCCGAGGCGGGGACCGGTGTGACCGTCGACAGAGGATGCTCACTCCTAAATGGCACCTGATCTTTTTCACCTTTATTGTTTTAGAGGTCCGTGTATGTTCTTCTCCTGATTTATGTTGTTTGAATAGGCTTTTTTCGTCATTTCTGTATCTTTAATTAAGGATTATACTTATTCAACAAGGAATATAAATGATCCACAAATTAAAATATTTGAAATAAGATATGATTATCAAAAGTAAATTTCATTTTCAGGCAACAACGGTTTCCAAATTAGAAAGATTTAATCATATTATCAAAGATAATACATGTATTTCAAAAGAACAATAGATATGAGTTATGACTATACAAGAAAATTATTCTCTTGTGCCTTTGAAAACAATACTACATGTAATTCAAGAACGGAAGAGGGAAAACATAGTTTTACCATTTTTAAACCAGGTCATGTCATTTTTTATGTAAAAAAATTGAAAGAAATCAATATAGCAAGTATTCTGTTCCATCTTTTACCTCAAGATACATGTACTACCAGCCATTTCAAAATACTTCCCGGAAGCTACTGTCACAGGAAAGAGCATATCAGATAAAAATACATTATTTGTTTCTAGAAATACTTCCTGTTTTTATTTACAATACATGTTTTGTTTCTGTGGTCAAAATACATATTCGGATAAGAAAACATTTGGCCG